CTCAGATTGTAGATCCTTTGTCAGTGTCAGCCATGTGGATGAGTCACGGCCATTGCTTGGCCAATGTGCTCTCTGTGAAAGCCTGAGAGAATGTTTTCTCTCCATGTGACTCTCCTTAGGCACACTCTATGTCATCGATCACTTTCCTCTTTGGCCCCATAATCTCCTTGATCAGAAAATTTGGGACACTACTGAGTTATGTGATGTTACAGTACAAGTTCTCATATGTCCTGAGTCTTAATTGACCTTGGAAGGCCAGGGCCAAAATGTTGGCTTTCCTTGCGACCCTCTTTTTTCTATAATTTTGGTCTGCAAACTTAGGTTGTTAACCCTCCAGAAGAAAAGTTTATTGTTATTACTATACAACCTAGGCTGTTAAGCTTAACCTCACTATCTATGTGAATATCAAACATCTTAGGCATAACATGGAACAGGTATTTTTCATCAAGTATTGATACGTTGAACTTTAAGTCCCTACAGAATATGATAAAAAACAAGTGTTTCTGTTTCAACATTTAATTCTGTGATCTCTTTTGTACGTAGAGAGATATATCAACATGGAATCTTCTGCATGTGGATTGCCAGTTTTTCCAAGAGCATTTATTAACGAGCCTACCTTTATTTAAATGTATGTTTTTGGCCCCATAGTTTGAATAGGATTGGGGTTGTTTCTGTGTTCTCTATTCTGTTCCATTGATCTTCATTTGTGCCAGTATCAAGTAGGAGTGTGTGTGTGTGCGTGCGCGTGCATGATGTGTGTATGTGTAATTACATTAACTTTGCAATATAAGTGTGGGATTATGATATTTTCCACTTTGCTCTTGTCACTCAGGATCATTTTGTGCTATTCTAGTCTTTTTCTGTTTCCATAGGAATTTTAGAATTGTTTTCTCTCCAGTTCAATGAAGAATAATGTTAATGTTTTTATTGAGATTGCATTAGACAGGTACATAGATTGGGGAAGTGTGGCCATTTTGAGTACCCTGGTTCTTCCTATGGATGAACAGAGGATCTCTTTCCCTTTATGATGGCCACTTTGATTTTCTTTTTCAGAGTTCTGTGGTTTTCACTGTAGAGGTCTTTCACTTCCTTGGATTAATTCCTAAGTAGATACTTAGGTGCTATTGTGAGTGGTATTTTTTCTCTAATTACTTTTTCAGTGGGTGCATTATTTGCATACAAAGATGGTAATAATTTTCGTTGATTTTATGTTCTATATTGCTGAATTTGGTGACTAATTTTAAGACCCTTGGATTTTTTGGGGTCTTCTATGTGGATTATCATATCATTTGAAAATGATGATTTTATTTTCAAATATATTATAACTTTTAAATTTTTTTCTTGTCTACTTGCTAATGTTTCAAGTAGTATGTTGAACAGAAGTGATAATAATAGGCTTCTGTGTCTTGTCTTGTTCCTAATTTTAGAGGGAAAGCTTTCAGTTTCTCCCCATTTAATATGATGTCCAGTACATTTGTCATAAATGAATTTTATCAGATTGAGATAAGATCCTTCTATACTTACTCAGTATGAATATTGTTAAGTATTTTCAAGGGGTTTTTTTCTGCATTTTTTGAGATGGTCATGTGATTTTGGTCCAGCTTCTGTTTTATGTAACATATTATACATTCTGATTTGCATATGTTTAAGTATTCTTTCATCCCTCGGATGAGGCCTTTTTGTCATGACATATGACCTTTTTAATGAATCATTCCATTCTGTTTGCTAGTATCTTACTGAAGGTTTTTGCATCTATATTTATTAATGAGATTGATTGATTGGTTTCTTTCTAGGACATCCTTGAGAAATTTTAGGGTGCTGGTTTGGTGGTCATGAATTTCTTTGAATACTCTTTTTATGAAAATACTTCTGTATCATTTTTGAAAGATAGTATTCCAGGATATATCAATGTGTGTTGGAAATTATTTCATTTAGGGCTTGAACACTTCATTCCAAGCTCTCTTGGCCTTTCAGTGTTGTACTGAGAAGTCTGCTGTAATATGAAAGCTTGCTTTCTCTTTATAAATAACTCATTGCTCTTCTATAAGCAATTTTGATATTTTTTTTCTTGTATCGGAGTTCCAGGATTGTTTTATTTTGTTTTGTTTTGCAGAGCCAGGGATTGAACTCAGGCCCTTTTGCTTGCCAGGCAAGCACTCATTCAACTGAACTATCTCCCCAGGCCCTGAGTTCCAGGATTTTGACTATAGTTTCTTGCTGTTCGTTTCTGATTGTGGCTGTTTGGGGTTCTATATGTCACTTACGTGTATGTTAAATATTTTTTCTTTATTTGAAAGCTTTCTGCTCTTATATCAGTAAACAGGTTTTTAAAGGCCTTTTGTGCTGTCTTCTGATTCTTCACAAATTCATTTAAGCTTACTCTTTTCTTGCCTCATCTAATAGCTGTTAGATCTGTTTTCATATTCTTATTATTTTTAAGGTGTTTCTAATTAATTACTCACTGAAAGCTGACATTTGCTAGTTCTGACATACTGTTCTCACATTGTTGCCCACATGTGCATTAGAATTTTTAAACTCCTAAATTTATATTTAGAGTCTTTTTGTAGACTCCTAATTCTTTTTTTGGTGGCCAGCTCAGTGCACCTGGGGGGAGGGCCAGTGGGGCAGATGGTGCCAGAGATCAAACTCCAGTCCCTACACTTGCTTAAGGAGGAGCTTAGTCTGCTGAGCTATCTCACCAGCCCCCCTAATTCTTTTCTACTAATATTTTGCATCATTTCATTTATTAGCTCAGCTAGTAGCTTCAGTAGATTGGCTGATTATTTCATTTATGTGGCCCAGTATCTTACTACTTAATATCTTCTGTTAACTTATGAAGTGCCATATCAATCTGTTTTTGTTTTTCCAATGATAATCTCACATAACTCAAGTGTGTATTTCTTTGTTTCCTCTCCTTCGATGCTTCATGGATCAGCTCTAGGAGATGTTCCATAATTTAAAATATTTCTTCCATGGAAGCATATTTCTGTTTCTCCTTTATTGTATGTCCACCATTTTTATTGTCTGTTATTTTCATTGGGTCTCAGAAATGAGAGGAAAGAAATTTGTGCATGAATTTATTTCACCATTTTGAATCAGATGTTCAGTAATACTATTATTAAGAGATGCAGTTTTTAAAATATACTTCATATAGATATTAGTAATATAAAAAGTACTCTTTTATGTAAACACAAAATTTCATAACAAAATAGTAGAATAACAGTAGCTAACATACTGTGTATCATGCTCCATTTTTTAAATTTTATTGAGAAACATAGCAGTGAGACAGTTTCAAAGCAGGTTAGTAGGACAGTTACAATAATTAATACATTGTGTATTGTTGTCTTTGTAGTGATTATTTATAGGACAAGATGCAGAAGTGATATCCTGTCCAAACACTATCAGTACAAATCTTCTCATTGAATTAAGAGAAAGTAGCTGTATATCTATCCTAATATACAGATACAAAATGGTCCTTCATTTTTATCCCCTTTTTTGTTTAGTTTTGTCAGAGGTGGGTATTCCATTGCCATTTAAATATTGTAGGTGCGTCAATTCAGCAAAATAATCCAATATAGTCCAGTAGCCCATAATAGTAGTGGGTTATCCGTAGGACTGGCAATGTCAGAAGTTGTTGACTTGAGCCTTTTACAGCTCAGCATATTACTTTACTTTTTCTACCTCGTTTTTATACTTTTCTGCTGGATGGTGAAGACCAAGATAAAGCAAGACTTACATAATAACAAATACAACTTTTGTATCTGACAAGGTCAGTCAAATCCCCTCAGGATTTACCCTGAAACCCTGTACCACAGTTTGCAGATCCTACCCAAGAGAATGTTTTCTCTCCATGTAACTCTCCTTAGGTACACACTATATTTTTGATCACTTTCCTCTGTGGCCCCGTAATCTCCTTGATCAGAAAATTTGGTATATCACTGAGTTACTATCATGCTCTTAAAACAAAGGCTGATATGTTACTCAGAGAGGAGATTAAAGATTTGGGTTTTTGTTTGTTTTTTTGTATTTTAGGGAAGGGTCTACAAGGTGTTCAGGGTCTCACTGCTAGATTGGACTCATAGTGATCCTCCTGTTTACAGCCTCCCAAGAGCTGGGATTACAGGCACATGCCACCACACCCAGTCTCAGTTGCTGTCTCAGCATATCCCAGGGGCAGGGCACGGCAGGCCCAGGGATCAGACTCTGGCCCCTGCGCCTGCTTGTAGGCACTTTAATCCACTGAGCTATTTAACCAGCCCTGAGTTTTCTATTTTTATTTTACTTTACAATATTTCTAGTGTTCATAGTTCAGTTTAATGAGATTTTCATATTTTACAAAAATTTGAGCAGTTCTTCTACATAAAGCCTAGGTCTGGTGGGAAGAGGTGATAGGATCATCTTGCCTTTAGTCTCTTGTCTGGCATGAGCAGGAATACATGTGAAGACACTAGAATAATGTGCAGATGCTTTGTGACTCCCACCAGACTCTCATGAGATGATAAATGAAATGAAAGAGAAACCACTTTGGTGTAAAGGTTTAAAAACTATGGAATATTTTATAATACATGGATAAAATTTGTATAAGCAAAGGTTGGAATTGAGAGGAAGACTCTTTCCCTTAAAAATGTTTGAACAGTAACTCCAGAATAAAAGCCCAAACTTGTTTAAAAAAAAAAAAGTGACTTTGACTAGCGTGTGTGTGTGCACGCACGTGCATGTGTGCATGTTCCCCTTAGTCACTACTGTGCCTCTAGAATGCCCTTTTTTCAAAGTAGAATTTTATCATGGCTATGCGTAGTTTGTAAGCCATCGTGAATTCGTATGGAGAAAGTAACAATCTTTTTTTGTTGTTGTTAATCTTTGGGTGTTAAAATTAGAAACTTTGACTAATAGTGTCAGTTTTTAAATGATTTCAGCTGGATAAGTAAGAAATATCACATATAAAATCCCTTAAGCAATGTCACTTCAGTAAGGATAGTAAAGCCTATTTTTAAATGCAGGTGCAAGTGGCATGAAGAAAATGATATTCTCTTCTGTGCTTTAGCTGTTTGCAAGAAGATTGCGTAAGTTGGAACTGTTCTTTCCTATTGTTGTACTCTGTTAAATTCTTCTCTGCCTCTTTTGCTTGCTGTTGTTTCAGCAGCAGCAGTGACTGTTCGCCTTCTTTACTACACATTCTATTATAAAACACAGATGGTTTTAATTTCACGTTACTTTTGTTCTTCTCTTCTGTCACTATTTGTCTGAACAGTTGGGGGTGAGTCTTCAGAAGTACTTACTAAAATTTTTCCCTCTTGGACCCCTGTAGGGGAATGAAGTATCCTACTGTCACTGACATAGGAAATTACAGTGGAGCTGTAATGTGTGTCTCACTGCCAGGGGGCTCTGAGCCATGGGGCTGCAGAGGACAATCCCAAAGGTGATTGTAAGCTTGTAAGCTGCCTGATGGGCCAACTGTGCACACACCAAGCCAAAAGGACATATTACAGACAACTTTCTTTTGAAAATGACCCCAAACATACTTTTTTCTTCTCGTTTTTTAGTAACAAGTACTTGGAGTTCCAGATCTCTAGGTACTCTAGTGGCTCCTTTGCACAGCAGATAGTTCTTGGTTCTAAAGATTAACTGTTGGTAATTGTAGTTTTAGTTCTGCTTCTGCCCTCTGTCTACCTTGAACATGTGAAAATCATGGTCATCTTCACACTCATCCCTATTTCCTTTAACCCAGAGTTTTTATTCTTCTTACTGTTAATCAGAAGATTGCTTACCAGTAATAACTTGTCGTATGATGCAAATTGCTACCTGTTCCTGTCTCGTCTCTGAATTTCTGTATTTCTTTTCTTCTCAATATAGAAAAGTATCTCTCAGATGCTTTGTTAGAAATATAAAAGTATGAATGCTTTTGGAGTGAACTGATGAGGTATTTAGAGTGAACTTTCTCATTTCCTTTGAAAGGTACTGCATCAGCAATTCTCTGGCTACTCTCTTTGGAATCCAGCTTACGGGAGCTCACATACCACTTCAGGATTATGAGCCCAGCAATCGTGTGACACCCAAAATGGTTGTATTGGATGCAGGGCGTTACCAGGTAAGAGACCACGTTTATCAACAAAATAAGAGTTATCTTCAACTTCTTTGAAAAGTCTTTTCATCTTCTTGTTTCTAACTAAACCTTAGCTGTTTTTTTTCAAAACACTGCTTCTCTGTTTCCCCTTTCAAATGATGACATCTTATTCTTCCTTATTTGCCATAGACCTATATTTGAAATAGTTTTCCTTGATTGTGGCTTCCAAACTTTTTTATACCTTCTCCCTAAAATTTTCAGGCTTTGAATCTCATGCCATCCCGGTTGCTAAAGGTTGTGTTTTTTGGAGTCAGTGGACACACAGATTTATCCTCCTCATGAACTTCACTGACCAAGAAGAGCAGTTTTCCCCTCAAAATTTGTTAATTTTCCTCATAGAAAGTTCTTTCAGTTCCTTGACTTCCCTCTCCAAGTGTCTTCTGCCATAGAAAAGCTCCCAGTACCATGATTATGTCCTAGACCCAGTACTCCATTGCCAACACTTTTTCTTTCTTTACCTCTTCAGAAGCCCACACTCTCTCACTGTTTTACCCCCTTGATAGGGTCCAAAGGTGCAGCAGTGTGACCCATTTCACCACCTCTGTCCCATCCACTGCCTCACCTCTTTCCTTCCCAGCTTAGGTGGTGGCCTAGTCTGTCATGCCTGCTGTGCCGCATTCACTGCCAACTCCATTGGCCCTTTTTTCCTTCTCACACTTGGTGGGACAGACTAGTTCTGATTAAATCTTACTCTTCACTGGTTCAGCCTCTTCACCTGTGAAGCTAAGTGAGCCTGGAAAGCTTCCACCATGCTGACAGGTCTTCCTGAATTTTCATCACCACCAGCTTAAGTGGACCATTGATGTTGCCCATGTTTCTAGTCTGATTAACGCATTCCCACTAGCTTGAACCACCAAGGAATCAAGCTGCCTGGCAGCATGATATACAAATTAGGCCCCGTCATGAACATCTTAATCTTTCATTCTGACACAGTTATTTCTCCCATTTTTCCCTTTACTTTTAGTCATCTTTTCTCTTACTCGCTTCTGCTAATATTAATGCCTCCTACTTCTTTGAGAAAACAGAAGCAGGAAAGATTGTTCACATTGGGCTGGGGAGATAGCTCAGTGGTCTAAGCACCTGCCTGACAAGTGCAAAGACCCAAGTTTGATCCCCTAGACCCAGTACTCCAGACATGGGCTACATGCCATGTGGCCCAAGGTGAGACTCTGTGCCAAATAAATATTTTTTTTTTTTTTGTGGAACCAGGGATTGAACTCAGGCCCTCACACTTGCCAGAGAAGCGCTTACTCCACTGAGCCATCTCCCCAGCACCCAAATAAATAAAAAGATTTTTTTACAAAAAGATTGTTCACATAGTCCTGCCTTACTTAACCTGCATTTACTATATCTATCCTCTGACTTTACTCTTGTTTTACTAAATGAATTATCTGTATTCCTATTTAAAATCACTCTGTATATTAGATCTCATTATCTTACTAATTGAGGACTTGACTACAATAATTTTCCCTATTTTACATTTTTCAGTTTTAAAGTTTTTATTAGTATATGCTTGCAGTATGTAACAGTGGTACTCATGGGAGGTTGGCACAGATACTTAACACATCTTAATCCTTTTTGCTTCCTCTTCCTCTCCCCTCTCTCCATCTCTCCATCCCCTTCCCACCTACAATAGATACCTCTCCCAGTCTAATCTTTTCTTTGGTTCCTTTATTTATACTTTAGGTTTCACATATAATAAACTATGTAATGTTTAAACTACATGTCTGATTTCACTCAACACTGTGGTCTCAGGGTATATCCATTTTCCTACTTATGACTCAAGTTTGTTGAATCATTATGTTTTCCCCCTGTTCTGAATCATAGCAAACATGCTATAATCTCATTTTTTTAAAAAAATGTATGCCCTATCCTGATTCTCTAGAGTCTACACTATTACTCTCATCCCTTTTGCAGCACAAGAAGATCAGATACTTGAAAAGTGTTTGGCTGTGTGTTTGCATTTTGAAAAGAGGAAATTGAAGTTGATTTAGACCATTGATAGGAAATATTTCCCCCTGATATTTATCTTTTGCTTTACAGAATCAAAGAGTTGAGAGTCTAGGATTCCCTCATTTCAGCTATTCTAATCAGGAACAAAGATCAAACACATCCTCTGGTAAGCATCTTAAATTTTATAGATAGAATAGACTTTATAGATGTTAGGCCCTTAAAACTTACTGAAATCCCACAATGTGGTACTTAAACAGGTATTTCTTGATCATCTTGAGAAGCTTACTGAACTAAGCATTTTGTTTGGGTGCATGTGTTTTCATGAAAACAACTTACGCCTTAGATGTTCGTTGAGGATATTCAGAAGAAAAATCTTTTTCTTGTAACTATAGTTTTATAGCTTTGATGTGGTGATACCTTTTGGGAGGTGAGGAAAGCTCATGACATCCAAGTTCAAGTGGCATCTGAAGAACTTCAATTAGTATTTCCTACCCTAAACACAGAAAACGTTTTTGTTCAGCTTTTGCCTTTACTTAAGACTCTCTTTCCTGTTTATGATCCTTTAAATTATGCCTTAAAGACCTATGGTAGAACAAAAGTCAGTTAATTGAGGCATCTCTTTATGATAATGTTATAAAATTACATATTATTTTCATTATATTTTCAATATCCTAGGTGATTACCCATCTGGGGTGAAAATTCCAGGCCAAAACAGCCGTGTTCGAGGAAGAGGAATAACACGTTTACTAGAGAGTATCTCCAGTTCCTCCAGCAGTGTCCACAAATTCTCCAATAACTGATAATTCCTTACCCTACAATAAAGGTATTGAGCATCTGCTGTGAATGGTTCTAAAATAATATTAACCCATTCATTTCCATTATAAAACAGAAATGTTATACTAAAGACCTACAGGCTATGTCTATTGCATATAACTAAGAAAATTAGCCTTTAACTAAAATAAACTTTTCTGAAGAGATTTGAAATAAGCTTACTTGGGCAGAAGAAGTCATCTGATGGATGAGATACCAAAAGGAGAAAGATTATGCAATTTATCCCAAATAAGATAGCTGGTTAGGGATTAAATTTGGGTCCATGGGACCGCGAAACTCTTTACGTATACCAAGCACTTGTCAAACTGAATCAGGTAGCAACTTTGTGAATGACCTAACCTGGATCACTACTTTTAACCAGGGTGCTAGGATAAGCCAGAACCCAAGAGAAGAAAAACAGATTTTTATTTGGAACCACAAACCACGCTTATACTTGGCAGCGACACAGAACATACTAATTTAGGTCTGTCTGATGTGAGACCTTAGTCCCTCTGATCATGCAGAATCACTTTTTGTCATGTAACTTTTAAAAAAAATCTTTTTAGTAGTGTCTCAGCTGCTCTTCTCTCATTGCTGGGACAAATAATTGACACTCAAAATGAAGGAAGGAAAGGTTTATTCAGCTCACAGTTACTGGAGGTTTCACTACATACTCAGCTGGCTCCAAAGCAGAGTGGCACCTGGCAGAGGGCAGCAGTTCATGGCGGTGGAAGGCAGCAAAACAGCAAGAGCAAAAGGGAGGCATAATAGCAACACTAGCTTCAGAGAGCAAGTCTCTTTTATATTACATTCAGGCTATCCACTCCAGGCTAGGTGTAGCACTCACACCCATAATTTCAGCAGTACCCAGACCCATAATCCCAACAGTACTCAGACTCGTAATGCTATCCTTGGATCATAAATTAAAAGGATTTTTTTTTCTTTTTTGGGGGGGGCTGGCTCAGGATGCACCTAAATGTATGCCTGAGGCTTTGGGGGGGCAAATACAAAGAAACCATAACATTCCCCCTCAAAGACTGTGGACCCCCAAAGACTCATGCATATCCATTTATACAAGACAAGTACTTGAGTCCATCTCTAAGCGTTGCCAAAGTCCTAACAGTTTCAACATTGCTGAAAAGTCCACGTCCCAAGTCTCCTCCAAGATCTAAGACAAACTCCTAGCTGTGAGCCCCTGTAAAAAATAGAAGTTAAACAGTTCCAACATTCAGTGGCACAAGATAAACATTACCATTCCAAAAGTTGTGAACAACAGGGGAATACAAAGCATTGGGACCACAAGTCCAAAATTCAGTAGGGCAAACTGTAATCCTATAGTTCCCTGTGGAACATATCTGAAGCAATCTATGGCAAGTTGTGAGCTCATGTGGCTCTGCCCCTATGGCACTCTTGGTGATAGCTCCCATGGCTTCTCTCTCTCTTAGGCCTGCTTTGCTGCCTTCTTGCAGTGTCCCTTAGGTGATCCACGTTCCTGGCTCTTCCAGACTTCTGGTTTTTTCCACTGCACATTAAGCTTCTCACACTCTGCTTTACACCCTGCCCTCTTGGGGACAGAACACCTGGCCTCCAAGGCCTTGTGAAATCAAGGTGAAGCCTTCTTAACCTCAAGACTCCTGCACTCTGCAAACCTCTAAAACCAATGCCATGTGGATGATGCCAAGGTCTGCTGCCAGCTGGAACAGTAGCCAGGCCTCCTCCTATCATGGCTGTAGGGGTTGAGTGCCTAGATTGCTGAGCACTCTGACCCTGATTCCAAGGAAGAAATTCTCTGTGCCAGCACCATTGTGGAGCCTGGGTGGCTGCTGCTGCCATTCTAGGACGTGGAGCTCTACGATTTTTTCCCCAAGGCAGTGTCCCTCACCCTTGAGGTTCTGAGGCTTCAAAGAGTGAAGATCTGCCACATCCTGTGATGCCCTCAGGCCAACCTTTCCACTCTGTAGTTCCTTCTCAGCAACAGAGATCCTCTCAGCTCTATGTTTGCATTCCACCATTTTATTGGAGCTTCCTTTCTGGTCAAACGCACATTTTAAATCATCCTGCTGGGCTCTTTGCTCTTTATTCTCAACATAAATCTGGCTAAAAGCCCTCAAACAACAGCCATGCTACTGCCTCAGTATTTGGCTGCTTTGAAATATCTTTTCAGGGCCGGGGAGATGGCTCAGTGGAATAAGCGCTTCCCTGAAATATCTTTTCAAAGATTAAACAGCCCACTATGCTTAAATCCAGTCTCAGGCAAAGTCTCTGGACATGAGCAAAATGCAGACAAAATTTCTTTCACACTGTAACACAAATCATCTGGAGTCCAACAACCAATGTAGTCCTTCCCAGCAGAATCTTCCCAGCCTGGTCTTTGCAGTCAGGGTTTCTATTAGCCTTCTGATCTTCTGAGCTCTGACCAGAATTTTACATACAAAACAGCCAAAGTGTTTTAGTGCTTTGCTCATAGGCAACATTTCCAAACCTTTCTTATCTCTTCCCGTAAGAAATTCCTAAAAGCTTGTAATCCACATGGTCGGGTTTAGTCACAGCACCAACCCCACTTCTCTGGTACCAGATTCTGTCTTGGTTATTCTTCTCATTGCTGGGACAAATACCCAGCACTTGAAATGAAGGAAGAAAAGGTTTATTTAGCTCACAGTTACTGGAGGTTTCAGTACATACTCAGCTCCAAGGCAGACTGGCACATGGCAGAGGGCAGCAGTTCAAGGTGGCAAAAGGTAGCAAAGCAGCAAGAGCAAAAGGGAGGAGTAACAACAACAGTGGCAACAGAGAGCAAGTCTGTCTCTTATGTTCAGGCTATCTTTCCCAGGCTGGGTGTAGTAGTCACACCCATAATCCCATCTTTTTTAAAATTTTTCATAATCCCATCCTTGGATCATGAATTAATCACAAACTGTAGAACTGTGCCTTGATGATTGCATGAGGATTTGGGGAATAGATACACACAAGCCATAACAAGTAGTGATCCTCCTATTTCAGCCTCCCCAGCGCTGGGATTACAGGTGTATACCACCACACCTGGTTTCAGTGGTGCTCAGTGTGGGGCTCGCATGGCATGCAGTACTGGGGTTCGAACTCAAGTCCTTGTACTTGCCAGAAGGTGTTTAGACCTCCGAACTATGTCCCGAACCCAGTCGTAACTTTGAAGGGAAAGATTTGTCTTAATATCTATTTTTTCCTTGTTATAATTTATACCTAGATGTCCCCTAAGAGCCTTATGTGCTCATAGATGGCTCTTTTGAAGGTGGTTGAATTATGGGAGCACTGGGGCTAAGTTGCTTTTCCAGAGGTGAGGCCTTCTTAGAAGTGGTCCCTGGGAGAGAGTGCTAGAAGGGCGTTAACTGCCTCTCACTTCTCCCCACTGTGTCTTGGTTGCCATGACGTGAGTAGCCTTCCTGTGCAAGTCTTTCCCACCATGCCTTCCTGCCTTAGAGCTGGCTAGCTATGGCCTAAAAATGTGAGCCAAAATAAATCTATCCTCCTACCTCTCCTCTCCTTTCCCTCCTTTCCTCCCCTTGTTTTGTCCCTCCTTCCTATAAAATTTTGTGAAACATTTATCACTCTGAAGGAGGAGACACCTCCATTTTATACACCAAGGAAAAAGGAATTTAGGTCACAGCTACTAAGTGAAGGAATTGTTATTTTAAGCCAGGTCTTTCTGAATCCAAAGACCATATTCATAACACATTACACTGTCTTCTAGCTCCCTTTTATCTATTCCAATACTAGATACTCAAAAAAAATTGATAATTATAAATTTATATAATTATGTTTTCAAACAGCAGGAAATTTTTACCTTCATAGCCAGAATTTGAAACAACTGTATCTTTGTTACAAAATCAGCATCTGTTATGGTTTCTGTCTAGGTGTCCTCCTCAAAGTCTCAGGAGATCATGGGGCAGCTTCTAGAGTTGGTGATTAACTCTTGATCCAGTGCTGGGATTATGGGTGTGAGTGTTACACCTGCCCTGGGGTAGATAATCTGCATTACAGTGTAAGCAAGGAAGAGAGGCTTGCTATCTGCCATACTTGCTGCTTCTCCCTTTTCTTTTTTCTCCCCCTTTTCTCTTTACTGTTTTCTGCCACCATGAATGGCTGCCCTCTGCCATGTGCCACGCTGCCTTTGGAGCCAGCTAAAAACGGACTGAAACCTCCACTAACTGTGAACTAAATTAACCTTTCCTTCTTTAATTTTGGGTGTTGGGTATTTTGTCCTAGTAATAAGAGAATTAACTGAGACATAATCTGGTATCAAGAAGTAGGGTCATTGCTGTGACTAAACCTCACCATGTGGATTGCAAGTCTTTGGGAATGTCTTACGGGAAGAGATAGTAAAGACTTGGAGGTGTCACTTGAAAGAGAAGTGCTGGAACACCTTCAGCTGTTCTGTATGGGAGATTCTGATCAGAGCTCAGAAGACCAGAATGCTCATAGAAGTCCTGCCTGTAAAGACCAGGCTGGGGAGGTTTCTTCTGGAAAAAAAGAAGTGCACTGGTTGTTGAACTCCAAACAACGTGTGTTATAGCTTGGCAGAAAGCTTTTGCTCATGTCCAGAGACTTGCCTGAGATTGAGATTAAGGGTGGTGGACTGATTAATTTTACAAAAGAAATTTCAAGGCAGCTGAATGTAGAGGCAGTGGCATGGCTATTGTTGGGCACTTTCAGAGAGATGTTGAAAATCAAGAACAAAGGACTCAGCAGGATAATTTAAAATGTTGTGAGTTTGGCCAAGAGAAAGCTCCAGTAAAGCTGTGAACTGCAAAGATAGAACCGAGAGGATCTCCATTGTAGAGAAAGAACCAGAGAATGGAAAGGTTGGCCTGAGGGCATCACAGGAGGTGGCAGGTCTTCACCCTTTGCACCTCAGAACTGCAAGTGTGAGAGACTGCCTTTTGGAGAGAGCCACAGAGAGTACCATGTTCCAGGCTGGTGGCAGTGGCCACACAAGGGTTCAGAACAGTGGCATTATAGAGAATTTATTCCTCA